TGGTTGTGAATAAGATAATTGCCATTAAATTGCATGCACAAAATGAAGGTGGAACTGCACAGACACAATAATCAGTGTAAAATATGAACCTGATAAACTATACTCTGGGACACTTCAAATACATCCATGATTGCTAAAATATGTCTGTTTACACAAGACCACAATTTTGAAAATTATCTCCAAAGCACATTAGCTTCTGAGGGACAGGAATTTTCAGAACTTTGTATAGGATAAGAAATAAAATAAGGCTTTGTGATAAAGAAATGGAAATATCAGCTGATGAAATTACCTGAATATGACACTCATGTGTAATGTGTCCATGCAATATGTGAAAATTAAGACATAATGATAATAATAATTTTTAAAAATAGGAAAAAAGTTGTCGTACAATATCTTAAGTCGTCTTTCACCATATGGGTAACATTATGACAATAACACTTTAAGGGTTAGGAAGAAAAATAATGGAAAGAAGAGATTTAATAGTATACAATAAAATGTATCACAGCATCATCTGTAATGGAGAGTTTCTGAACATTTATGTCTCAAATGTTTTTAAGTGACTGATTGTTTGTAATTTAATAAGTGTGTCTATACATTTTTAGACTATTTTTATGAAATGATTGATGATTTATATGTTTGTTAATTTGTTGTATTATTGATTATACTACATTTAGTTTTCTGCCAGTATGTAGGGACTTCAGCAGGGTATATAACCTACCGCCTCTGAGGATGGCATTTATGACCAAGCCATGCCCAGCTGATTAATTGTTTTAATACATAGATGGCTCCACATGTACTAAGATACCAATGAGCCAATTACTAGTACTATCTATCTCATTTGTTTACCCTTTTCCTTGATTTTTACAAGTATTTTCTGGTATATTGCTGTTAGTAATGCCAATAAAATTCTCATAAAATCTCTAATAATAACAGCACCATCAATAGCATTAGTTAAGGAAAAACATTTTACCTGAAAACTCAAGGAAAGGTGAAATCAGGTTCGGTCACAAGGTCTTCTAATTGGTTCCTTGGTGGCTCAGTACTTGTGGAGCAAGCTATGTTAAAGAAACCACAAAACAATACTACAGTGAACATTACATTTTCTCGGGGGCACTGGGTTAAGAGGAAAACAATGTGTTTATCCATACTTACTTGCTGTGTGGTGCAGCGGTAGTGATCTCGTCTTGCAATCTTGCCAACCTGCGTTCAAATCCATCTCCTCCATTGGATGATAACCCTGGCCCTTCCTTGTACACGGAGTAATTTAGAAGCAAAATAAAATGTTACCTCAAGAATATCCATTGTAACAACTGAAACAAAACAAAATTTTTAAATTGAATAAAATTAATGATTACTGATCCTTTTCTGTATATATTTTCAGAAGTTAACAGAATGGGTAATTGATAGATGATATATATATTTTTCCTGCATCAACATTTGTGGCACACATAGATGGTGCAGTACTATATGAATAAAACTTTATTCCCTCACAAGGATTCAAAATAGTCTACAGTGTGCTTCAAATACAGAGGGAGTGATATTTTGTGGCCTGTAAGCATGTTTATTTATTCTCTAAGAAAATAAAGTATTTCAGCTCTAAAGTTTGTGTGAAATAATAATAGGTTACTTGAGTGATATTGCTTATTTATTTTCACATCGCATTAGACAACTGGAAATATATTTTAGATACACTACCTAATTTGTTTTGAATATCAAATGTGTTTTGAAGAACCCTTTCAGAACTCTTCTATGTATTTGGGCTCAGTACTTGTGGAGCTAGCTATGTTAAAGAAACCACAAAACAATACTACAGTGAACATTACATTTTCTCGGGGGCACTGGGTTAAGAGGAAAACAATGTGTTTATCCATACTTACTTGCTGTGTGGTGCAGCGGTAGTGATCTCGTCTTGCAATCTTGCCAACCTGCGTTCAAATCCATCTCCACCATTGGATGATAACCCTGGCCCTTCCTTGTACACGGAGTAATTTAGAAGCAAAATAAAATGTTACATCAAGAATATCCATTGTAACAATTGAAACAAAACAAAATTTTAAAATTGAATAAAATTAATGATTACTGATCCTTTTCTGTATATATTTTCAGAAGTTAACAGAATGGGTAACTGATAGATGATATATATATTTTTCCTGCATCAGCATTTGTGGCACACATGGATGGTGCAGTACTATAAGAATAAAACTTTATTCCCTCACAAGGATTCAAAATAGTCTACTGTGTGCTTCAAATACAGAGGGAGTGATATTTTGTGGCCTGTAAGCATGTTTATTTATTCTCTAAGAAAATAAAGTATTTCAGCTCTAAAGTTTGTGTGAAATAATAATAGGTTACTTGAGTGATATTGCTTATTTATTTTCACATCGCATTAGACAACTGGAAATATATTTTAGATACACTACCTAATTTGTTTTGAATATCAAATGTGTTTTGAAGAACCCTTTCAGAACTCTTCTATGTATTTGGAAGGAATATTCAATAAAATGTTGAAACGTGTAATTTGATTTATAAATGATCTATAATGACAAAATTTTGTTTAAATTTCTGTTTAGATTTGAAGGAAGTCATCTTTTATTCATGCAAGCACATCAGAAAGGAAAGGGAAAAAATGTGATTTAAATATTAAGATGAATTTTTCTTTTTATTAAGTTTTGTGGATTTGTATTTAAAAAAAAAAATCATACTAGTCTAAACTCATACAACATACTGCAGTCCTTTTATTTCCTGTTTATAATATAGATTGCATATAAACATTTGCATACTCACCCTTAAAGCCATATCCACGTAAGAGGCAGTGCTTGTGCAGACAAAGACTTACCCAACATTTATGTGAGTAGCAGACACTTGTAGAGATCAAAAGCAGGAACCTGCAGGCAAACTTTAAAAATGCTTATGCCCTATAATGGCCAAAGCCTGCTGGCCAGGAACTGCTTGATCTGGTAATTCTACCTAAAGACATGTCTAGATAGCAGGCCTGATTATTGGTCATACCCAAGATAACACCAATGGCTGTATAACTGATTTATGAGTGGAGGTTGTTGTTTATCAAGGAGTTTGCCTGCCTCTGATAACACTCCTTGGGTATGCTTACTGATCAGGCCCACTTGTCTGTACATAGCTTAATTAATGAGGGATATACACATCAAATGTGGGCTCTGCCTCTTGTGAGGACATGGCTTTGAAGTTTGTTTATCCTTTGACTGCAGCCTAGAATTCCATAGACATTCCCCTATAGGAATCTGAAGTCACAAAAAATGAGTGATAATCTGAATATTGCTGTTGCTTTCTTGTTGAGAAGGATAGTAAAGATGATTGATTCTAAAAGGCATTTTCATATGAAAAATGTGGCTTTATTTACTTTTTGTCTACCTTTGTATCCCAAGCAATTACAATTAGGTTACATTTTTAATTTTCAAGAGCATGAGGATGCCTGAAAACTAACTTTTCTTTCACAAAAATTATTTGGTTGTGCAAGATGCATGATAAAGTATATCTCAGCCATTGTACTCTTTATATATTCATGTGTAATCCATGCTCATGTGAGCTACCAATTACATTTCATGAGCATTTCCAAGTTATTAAAATATCCTGGGCTAAAACAGGCTGGAGGGTATTTACTATACCCATAGCATGAGAATACAGTAATGTTTTTAAGGCAGTGGAGTAGTTTGCCCAATGTATCATGAGTAATAGTTTCAGTTAAAAGAATGAACACCTGACAAGTTTGATGGATTAAAATAACACTGCCTGAAGCTGATCTCTGCTCCTTTCAGCAGCACACTCAGTAATAACATGTTTACTATATGAACAAATTATAAAGTTGCTTTTAGAAGCCAGGTTTAAGATTTTACTTGCACTGTCATTTAATATTTACTCAGTGCTGCTGTTGGTTCTCTTTTAAGTCTAATGATTTTCCTTAGGAAGGGAATAGGAAATACCCAAAGCCTAACACTTATATGATGGCAATGTTGACGGTCCTTTCCATGCTTTTTCAAAAGGATGCCAACTCACTGTCAAGTCTTTACTTTATGCCAACACTTAAGAGTCATGCCCAAGATTAGAATCAGTCAGTATATATATATATATATATATCCACAGCAAAAATAGGTTAACTCGCTCACCACTGGGATGTACATAGATCATTAAGAATGGATTAAGGCATGCCATGTTGCTATCGAGTGGTATGCAACATCTGTCCTCTTCCATACATGCACAAGTATCCTTTTATGGTAATGGATAAAGGAAAGATTTAATATTGTATTTTGTTTACTTTTCTGAAAAATATTACAGTATGGGTAACATGCATTTACATTTCTTTCAACTGGTAGTATACATAGTAAGAATATAGCACCTAGGTTTAGTCTAGTCAAATCCACATGAGAACAATTTAATACATCCTTTGGTCAAGAACTAGATCTCTTCTAGGATGCAATACTAGAACAAACAGTTCCATTTTTCCTCTTTTCTCCCCACGTCTATCCTATTTTACAGCCGCTAAATACAATGTCCATCTTTGTCCCTAGTAGTTTTGGGACTACTACCACCTTAAAGCAGCTGATCAAAAAAGGTACAACAAAAATCATGGGAAACAGGATTCCTTGGTTCATTAATCCTAAATTACGGAAACTGCATTACCATACAAAAAATATACCTGTGACAATTTACGGAATATTTAAAAGTGCAGAAGTTAAAATTACATTTGGCAAAGCACCTAATCTGCATAAAGGAATATGCATCCTGCACATAAAATCAACATCTGGGTTCTAAAATAAAGAATAAAATGTGTACAATATTTGGCACACAAGCCTGTTCTTTTGCATTTATAAAGTAAAGCATGCATATTTATTTTCTTTGGTGATGCTGAAAACTATAGGAAAGGAATGGTTATGAACAATAATCCATAAATCAACTTGTTTACTGTCAATTCACAAATATGGTTGCAATGTATAACTAAAGGCATAAAAAATAGTGGAATACAGATCTTGGATAAAACTGGTTTATTATATAGGTATACATACAGAACGTAACTAAAAGTTTATCACAGATCATATATACATTACAAGACATTATAGCATATACTTCTTTGCAAGTTCCTTTTATCAAATAGCCATTTTTGTCCTGTCTAAAATTATATTAATACAATGAAGACCATGATAAATGGATAGATGCCAAAACCAGTCACTCTGGGTTGTACATGCTAACCCAGAGAACTAGTCTTGTAAAATAAAAAGTTAAATACTGGTAGTCAGTATTTTATAAATCTGAAAGCTTATGAAAAAGAAAACAAACTGGCATCTTAAAGTAATATGTACAAAAACCAGTCCATTCATTCAACATGTACAATATTTACTTTATAAATGGCAGCCACCTCATGCATAAGACGCACTCTTCTCTGCGAGCGAGTTGATGAGCTTTGATTTGAGCTGGGGAATCTCACTAATCTTCATCAACTTGCTGGCTTTGTACTTCTGTCTTACAGCCTGCAAGAAAAATACCAGTAAGATTTCTATACACAAAACTGACAATCAGGACTATTAGGAGATGAAAATGAGCAAGTGACAATCTTCACATCTCAATTGCAAGATGTAAGTGAATGTTTAAGCATGATAAAAATGATGTATATGTACACATTCTAAAACAAGTAAAATGAAGTCAAATAAATTTTCCTATATATAATTAAAAGCTAAGGTTACTCTTACCTGTTGCTTGGCACTACTGCTCTTAACTACAACTGCTGCCATTTTGCACATGACTGGCATAAGCTGTTGTTCAGTGTAGCGAGAATAGAAAGTCAATGTATCGCTCCAGTTATTGCCATCCAACAACCTAAAAGGAAAACGTAAAATTACTGAGGGGGTGGGGGAGGACTTTAAATGGATAGATAAAGAAATTACACAAAGTCCTTACCAGATAGTAAATGGGTCTTTTTGCATTTTTCTAATGTTAAAAGGCAGATGGTATCGATTGCCCATCGATGACAAAGTAATATTAGCAATATCCATTTCAATTTTAAGAGAAGCACCAACAAAACACTAATATGACCGGATTAAAATACAAGTAACAGTTCTTAAAAGAATACTAAAAGAATATTAACTACTGCAATCTAGGAAGTAAAACTTAAGGTCACTTGAAATAATTTTGTACTTAAAATCCTAAATTTCATACTTAAGTGAAAGGCAGAGAGCAGATGCAGCAATCATTGACGATTTGTAATGGCACATGCTGTACTCGGGCAAGCAAAGTTCCATCAGGTACTTTGCCAAGGTATGTTGAGAAGCATCAACCTGTTGACACAGAATTGCTAGTTTTACTACAAATCAGAAGCATTTCAGTATTTTATATTATAGGAGTAATATTGCTTCAAACCTATGCCATAATCACCAGGTACTTACAGAGCCAGCTTTGCTGTTTCTTCGCAGGAAGTGCAAGGGAAGGGGATAGGATACATTGAAGCCCAGCTCATTCAGCATGGTCACCTCCATTTTACGAATCTCTGCCTTTGAGTAGGCTTTGTCTGTGATGTATGCGAAGTCCCCGATTTCTGGGCAATACATTTCTTCATATTTGCTAGCAATAAACATGGCAGTCACACCAACTAACTGTAGCTTGTTACGTGGTATATTCCTCTGAGTCTGGAAGTGGGGAAGAGACCATTTAAAAATTGATGTATAAAATTGAAAGTAAATTTTATTACAAAAAAAAAAATAATAATAATAAAAAAAATAAATAAGTAAATATTTCTAGTTACCTGGAGAAATCTGTCAATGATAGCAACAGTCAGATACAGTGTCTCTTGAAGCAGGGTGAAGCGGAGGTGGACTTGGACAAGCCAATCAATCAAAATTGCCCTCATCTTTCCTGTAATTACTTGGCCTTCTAGGTATCTGGCCTTGACTTTGTTGGCATCCTGGTAGAAGGGGAAAAAATTGGCTTTTTTTTATTGTGTTTTTAAACTACCCCACAAGTGCAAGGAATGACTGGGGTTACCAATCACTGGCAGTGCAGTGCCGAGTTAAACACTGGTGAGCAAGATTGCACCACACAGCACAATATTTAAAGATCCAAAATACAGATGGATTGATTAATGTTTCTAGACTTATACTACCAATATGACACGCTTAGTGACAATCGGCCCTGAAGTCTGCATATTTAATATTTCCACGCAAGCTGGTTGACAACCTACTTCAGTGTTGACAACATGATAAGCTTACCATGGTATAAAATCCATTAATCACTAAACTTTCTTACAGAACTAGATTTTCATACTCCACATTCCAACAAAAGATCAACAGGTCTGTAAATCTGCAGCTCACAAACTACACAAAGCTATAAAATAAAGGCATTTACCTCTAGCTCTCGCAAGTACTTGTAGATATCATTCACATATTCAGATACAAGCTGAGGATTATCACTGTCTTGGGAATCAATATCTTCAACATCTAGTCTCTGGGTGGAGAAAGCAATGGCCAGTTCTTCCACCTTGGCTTCCTCCTCCACATCCATCTGCTCCACATGCTCTACCACTTCCTTCAGGGGCTTCACATTCTCTTTGCCGGATCTGACAAAACGGAAAAGATTAATAAGCCGATATAACCAGATACCATAATACTGAACCATTACCTGAGCAGTCATAAAAAGACTATTTGCCTGCATCACTGAATACCATTTCAAAATCGCCTACCCCTTAACCCCAGACGAAGAAAAAATAAACTCCTACCTGGCGAGCAGCCCAGAGAGGCCAGCTTTGGGCTTCTGCAGTTTCACGGACTCATTACGGGAGATCTCCCCAGGCTTGAGGGGAGCCTTGGGCCCTTGCACAGGAATGGCACGGTTGCCAACGTCCACAAAAGCACGACGGGTGACTGGCCCCTGGATCATCTTGGCCTCTACTTTGCGGGGGTTGTTCAGGTCGTGCCCCAGGTTCTGAAAAAAGGCAGGGGGAAGTGTTAGAGTACAGAGGGTTTACTTTTAGGCTTGTGACAACTACTTACTACTCAGAAAGTGCCTCAATGAATTCAGAAACCCACCCATTTGTCTGTCCCTGTCCTAGATTTAGTCTACACTGGTGAAGGCAACAACTGATCACATGCTTACAGACCTCCCTACCAATTTACTATAAGGATCTACTTCTAGCTCTTGCCAGAATGTACTGTCAAATTCAAAGGTTCCAGAGACTGCTTGACACTGGGTTTAAACTTTCTATCACAGACCACATAAGCTTCACACGCACTGGAACAAAGCCAGTGTAATAAAACCCTAAAAAAGCTGGACTTGAATTCCACGACAGGGTTACTAGAAACGTTTTGATCATTTAAAACCTAGAATAGAAAACAAAATCCCCATTTAGAAAAGGAAGTTTCACTACCGCTTAATAAATCTTAAGGAACGCATTCAACACATTTAAATAAACCCCAAAACATCACTTCGAATTCACAGGAGATTCAACCAAGTAGGCCTATGAACACTACATATCCCAAGTCACTTAAAATCACCAAAAGAAGGATTCAAATTATAAAACAGCCTTGTATTCTTCACGTAAAAAAGCTAAAAACATCAACTACAAATATCAAATGAAAAAGATAGAAGTATATAATCAAAAAAAGGATACGAAAACAAACCAAAAATAACCGCCACAAAATCCGGCAATTCAAATATTCCGAATAACAAACTCATTTTCATCATCGCGCAACGAAAAGCCGAGCACGGAAAGACTAATAGACATGGCGATAGAGTTCAATAGAAAGAGCGAGAAGGAAAAAAAACCGGAGAGAAGCCGCCATGGAGACAAAGCTTTAAATTCCGGGCATTTAAACGGCCGGCGCACCCAAGCCTCGTGGCGCTCAGGCGTTACGGCTTCCGTCTTTCTTACGCTTTTCTCGCCCTTTCTTCCGTTTCCCCAACTTGAAACTTACACTGGTGAGATGTGTGGTCGTTCTCAAAGACATGATGGATAAAAATCAACCGGATATTCAAGAATGTGTGGCTTTTTTCACTGTGAAATCTCCTCAAAACAGGTCCTCTCTCAAGCGACGCCGACTCGACACTGAGTT